TTCTACGGACAGAGCTTAGGGACAGATAGGGACAGAGCAGAATCATGTGATTGGTTAGTTAGCGGTTAGGGTTTATGAATTTTAATAATATCATGTGATTCTGCTCTGTCCTTAAGCTCTGTCCGTAGAATTTCCGCTATGGACACGTACCAATTCACGTGACTTTGCATGTAGAATATCACAAATTTTTCTTAAGTTTTGAACAAATTTTCTCAACAACTATATGATGGAATTCGATAAAAATTTTTTTAAATAAAATTATAGAATTAGCAGAATTCATTTAAAAAAATTATCATCGAATTCTATTGAGTAGTTGTCGAGAAATTTTCATTCAAAGTTAGAGAAAGTTTTTGTGGTCTTCTAAGAAAATAGCCGCGGCATAAATTTTCTAAACTTGAACGAAAATTCCCAATAACTATCCGATAGAATTTAATAAATTTTTTTTTAAATGAAATTTATATAATATTAGAATTTATTTGAAAAAATTTTAATCGAATTTTGACGAGTAGTTGTCGAGAAAATTTCGTTTAAAGTTTGGGGGGAATTTCTGCTGCACTTTAACAACCGCGGAAATATTTTTCTAAACTTTGAACGAAAGTTTCTCAACAACTATCTGATAGAATTCGATAAAAATTTTTTTAAATAAATTCTAATATTTTATAAAATTCATTTAAAAAAATTTTTATTGAATTCTATCTGAAAATTGTTTGAGAAATTTTCGTTCAAAGTTTAGAAAATTTATACCGCGGCTATTTTCTTAGACCGCAGAAATTTTCTCTAACTTTGAATGAAAATTTCTCGACAACTACTCAATGGAATTCGATGATAATTTTTTAAATGAATTCTGCCAATTTGTATAATTTTATTTAAAAAAATTTTCATCAAATTCCATCAGACAGTTGTTGAGAAAATTTGTTCAAAACTTAAGAAAAATTTGTGATATTCGGTACGTGCAAAGTCACGTGAATTGGTACGTGTCCGTAGATCGTCCGATGGCTAGGGTACTACAATTTTACATTAGTATATCAGCCACGAATCACATGATGGGTTGGGTTAAAATAGAAATTTGCTTATAAAAATGGTCAATTCATAAATGATCAATACTAGTCAACTTATCGTTATATAATATTAAAAGAATTCCGATCTCATACAGGTTACTTATTTAAATTTAACTCTACAGTAATTTAATTTATATAATCGCAAAACAAATTAGGTCATTTCTAGTAATTTCTAATTTATAAATTTTCTTTTATTATCCCGATATTTAATTAACTCATAACTAGCATAGTAAAATATAAAATATAAAATGATATGTATGTTTTTCTATTTTTATTGTCCCAACATTCCACCACTTTGTTATTAACTTAAAGCAATTGAAAGTATCACGTGGCGAGCAAGATTAAAATGCGTGCTAAAAGATAAATTTTAGAATATCGAAATTGTTATATCTAATCTTTGTCAAACCATTAATATCTCAATTATAAATATTATATAAATACTATTTATCAATAGTTTCAAGTGGCTTTAATTGATTGAATTGAAGTTTTTAATTCCTTAATTTCACTCTGAATTTTGGATAGATCTTTAATAGCTCCCTCAATTTGTTTAAGAGTTGGCTCTTCTTCAGGAAGATGAAGAACTTCGCGAAGATTACTTGAAATATAAGGTTTTTTATAACCTGTCCATTTATCTTTTTGGGTATATATTACATGTTCACGGAGTATAGTTGTGTGGCATTCATAAAAACTTCAAATATAAAAACATATAAGTAATAGGAATAAGTTTGGTTTGCATGCAATAACTTACGTAATAAATGGAAACCAGTTTTCTTTTCTTCGTTGATGAGGTAACATATAAAATAACTCAATTTCTTCTAATACCTATTTAATTATTATAATAAAATCTTAAAAATGTACATTTAAATATAAATGCAGTTTATAGAGATCATACCTCAGCCCTTAGAATCAAATAAGCCTCTCTTGTTTTAGTTTCACCTATTTCATTACTTAATAAACCGATAAACAGATTCATTAAGTAAATAGTTGCCACAAAAGAAAACATGAACGTTAAGAGAAGTAAAGCGGGGTTGTTATCTAAATCCCAGTAAGAAATTGGTGTTGTGTCTCCTGTTAAAATGTACACATTTCAAAATTTGGTATATCAATATGTATAAAAAATGTTGCCATTTATTGCTACCGATAATAAATAGTAACTTTATCGAAATATACTAATAATATTAATAATTTGAATTTTACCTGTTAGCATAATATAAACAGCAGTAATTGCTGAACCCATCAACATAAACATATTTGTAGTCGCAGTAGGAGGTTCAATAAGTGAGGAGTTTTCTTCTATTGTACCATTACTATCTACAGTGTTATAAGTTGTAGCTAAATTCCACGGATCATTTGGGTCAGTGGAATAGCTTGGATAATCTAAAGATACATTAACAGTAGGCCGCAGTAGAAGATGTAGTGAATGTGCAAAGGCAACTATAATAAATCCTAATATTATCAAAAATGAAAATCCTCTTTGAGCTACTCCTAGTATCATAGAGAAGTAGTCACCAGAAAATTCGATCGCGCGAAAAAATAAAAGAAACTTGATTTCCAATAATAAAGTAGAAAAGGTGGCCAATTCTGTTGGCATGTCATTATTTCGAAGCCATATAAATGACGATATCATTGGCAATAAAAATGCACCTAAATCTTTGAAAATAAAAGATAAGATATTAGTCATAATATGATAAAAAATTAGTACTACATATTAAAGTTTATAAATTTTCATATTACCAAAAAAATTCCATGCGCTTGACAAATATGTTAATGGTGCGTAAATAAATTGGCGAGCTTCAAAAATTAAATGCCAAATACCAAGACAAATAGTAATTTTTAAGAGAATAAATAAACTATTCTGAGAAATACTTGTGCAAAATGTTGAAGCAATTACGAAATTTCCAAGAAAAACTGTATAAATTAACCAAATGACTAAATAATATTTTCTTCCGTAAGTATTCCATTTAAATCTAAGCAATGCTTCTCCATTTAAATATCTATAAAATTCTTCATTTATTACTTCAACCTTGTTTGAACATGTAAAAGGATTGGGATTAGGTAACAATAATTCTAACCAAGGATTATGATCTTTTTGATAAAAAACAAAGTTTGGTAGAGGAATTGCAAGTATTGTTGTGCTATGACCAGCATAATATAAAGCAATAGCTGGTTTTACAATATAATTTCGAAAATAAGGGTACTTATTTTGAAAATTTTGAAAATAAACATCAAACTTTTTTTGAAAACTAGTCCAACGAACCCAAATATTGCAGATTAAAATATCAAGATACCATGTTTTAGATAAATGGTCGTACCTTCCGTAACTTGAAAGGTGTGAAGCAGTAGATTTTGGATCTACTAAAGTAGTAGGAACCACAAATCCTATCGTGGATAAAGTACTTGCTATAAATGCAGGATGATTTTCTGATAATTCATCAAAGTTTTCAAAAATAATACTCAACAGAGACATTTTTGAAATCAAATGATTATAATTCTGCATGCATTTATCTAAGCATTTGTGACCTAAAGATCGAATCCAATAATCATCCTTTAAATTAATAAATGCTTTCATGATATCATTTCCATAACATGTTAAATAAAATTCTTCACCAATACTATTTTTCAAGAAATCATTGAAAAGCAGTATTTCCTCATTTTTCTCTTCTTGCCAAAATGTAATATCTGAGTTTATACATATTGTTTCATAACTTGAAGCAGGAAGAATTCGTTCTGATGCCCGTTCCTCCCGGTCCTTAAAGAGTTCTTCTTTAAATTTTATCTGTTCAAAAACGAAATCCTCTAAACGTTCATTACAATCATTCCAATAATAATGCATCTTAATACCAGAAAGTTTATAAGTCCAGATAAATATACCAATACGTGTAATCGTAATGAAATCATCATTTTCAAGAACATCACAATGTAGTATAAAATCTTTTACATTAGGATTATTAGAGTAAAATGATGGAAGAATATCCAGTTGCTTTTTTTTACATCTTTTAAAATCCTTTAAACCAATTGCTGTAAGCCTGACTGATTTATCGTATTCCAAACTCCATTTTAAAAATTTCCCAACACATTCTTTTTTGCCAGCATTATAAGTACCACTTATAATTTCAAATGTATTTTTAGACGGAGTCGTAATGCTATTTGTGTCCTTAACTTCTTTTCGCAAGTATTCGATCCAATTATCATCATTCACCAATTTTTCAATATACACACTTCCATCAAATGTATAAACTATCTTATCTAATTTATCTATTTTATCTAATTGAATTATGTATTGACCTTGAATTTGGTTGTGTTCGAGTTGTTCAAAAAGTTTACTCGCATTTATTGGATTTTGAAGGTAATAAGGATCCATTAAATTATATTTCTTTGTTGAATCATATATATATCGATATAGTAATCTTTCTCCTTTTTCGGAAGCGATCAAATGAAATTTATCTATTACCATATCTGTAAAAACTAAAAAATGAATAAAAAGAATTAATAAAAAAAATTTTATGGACAGTTACTCATTTCAATATGAAACTTACAGGACGCCAGGTTTATCCCAGTTTCTGTAGAGAAAATGTATAAGCATGTTTTTTTTTTAGGTTTCTTTTCTTCGGTACATACTACTAATAATTCTTCATCATCACTAATTTCAAAAAATTGAGGTATATGATGCCATTCTAACAAAACACGTGTTTTAACCGATAATTTTTCAATGTCCCACATTGTGATCTCATGAATCTTATCATTAAACATGATTAATTTCCCTTTAAGAGTAATATGAAGTTTTTTAAAATATTTAAGCTCAATCATTGATTTACAAGTCCAGGTAATATTATTGTTTCCTTTACTTGAAAACACATATGCTCTATAATATTTAGTATTGACCATTATGATATTTCCATCATCAATAAAAGATAAGTAATCAATTTCCTTCTGTCGATCTGAAAAAGTTAATTGTATCTCTTTTTCATTTTCAAAATCGAAAATTTCTTAAAAAATATGCATAAATACAATAAGTGAATTGAATTTGCTTATTAAATAACAACAATATTATCTTTACTGTATGCATAACTTACTGAAGTTATAAGGATTGATTCTATTATAACTAATTGAAACATGTTTGTTATCTGAAACTGCAAATATTTTTTCTCCATTTTCTTTAGGGCAAATCTCTCCAATATCAAGTGTCTTTACTTTCTCTAAAAGTTTCTGATCACTAATGATAGACCAAAGACTAATATTGCCATCTTCGTTTAATGCAGCAACATATTTCAAGTTGGGCGAGCAGACAATTTCCAAAATTGTCTTATTTTCATCTAGATCCTCCAAAAATGTCTTACTTTCATCTGGATTCTCCAAAATTTTCTTATTTATATCTTGATCATCTCCGATTGAAATTACATGAACATTATCTGAATTGGATGCCATTTCTAACTATCTTTGATAAATTTAAATGGCAAAATTTTCAAATAATATTTACTAACGAAAAGGAGGGTAATCGTTATAAAAAAAGTTAGACAATCTTATTTGAAATTTTTGAAGATTTGGACTAAGCCATAGTCTGTTTGTAAATATTTGTGGCAATTTGCTTTTTTTTCGCTTTGGGCTTAATATTTGGTAGTGTCAGAATTGTGCCACAACTCATACAGTGACCTCCCCAAAAATTTCCGCATTCCGCTGTACTCCGATTAATTCTATTACATACGTATTACAAAGAATTTTTATGATTCGATGATGCTTTGTAATTAAGTAAATATTAGAATAATAAAATTTTTATTTTTCATCATCTTGCTTAGATAAGAAAAGAAAATTTTATTATTGTTCTAATATTGCAAAGCATCATCGAAATTATTATAAAATTCTTTCGATAATATAATAATATTAATTAGAATATAACGGATGCAGAAATTTTTGGGAGGTCTTTGTATGAGTTTTTAGCCACAGGAAGTTTTGTAAAAGTTCATAAATTTTAAATCTTAACTGTAAATTTACATAATTTACAATATATATATATCGGTTAATTTTCAAGTAACTCAAACTTAGACTCAACTCCTTAATCATTGGGTCAAAATGCGTCGAATATTAAACTTAATTACGTATCAGAAAGTATTTCTCGTTATTTTAACAACCCGTGCTTTTTGACTAATATATTGACACGCGTTTGAAAAATAACCTCCGGTTTGATTGTCTTCACGTTTTTAAAATTGTCATTGGACGGTGCATAAATCAGTTTCTTTAAAACTGTCTTGGACGTGTCATAATATAATTAGTCTTTGTTTTTGTTTTTAAAATCTTATTAATTGAATTCACAATACTAGATCATCGCTTGTTTTCTTTAAATCTTATGGACGAGTCATACGTTATTGGCTCTTCGCTTTCTTTAAATTACTATTAGACACTAATTTTAGATTTTTGATTGCTTATTAGACAGAATCACACACCTTAGGGTCTTACATTTTTAAAGTTTTTATTGGATGTTGAATGTTATTAGATTTTCGCTTTATTTAAATTCTTATTAGATGGAGTCACATGTTACGTATTAAATCTTTTCTTTAAGATTCTTAGTAGACATATATTATTATTTTAACAAATTGTATAATAATATAAGGAATTGATAATACATAAATGTTCAATAAAGATAGTCATGTTGATGTTTCTTATTATTTTTTAATATCGGCAAAATTTTAGATGGCATTTAATAAATCATTTGAAATTAATCTTAGAGCAATTGCTATAGGCTGATTATTATTTTTGATCGTTCGTCTTTCGATTTTAATATCAGTTTTACAATCTTTCTAAGATTTTAAATACATTAAGAACTTATTTTTTTTTACCATTGAGGCGTATCACCCATTATTAAGTTATATCACAGAAAAATACTTAGCAATTTTTAGTAACACAAATTTCATGACTATATACATATTAAATGTTCATGGTTTTTTCTTTTCAATTTTTTTGTTTTTTATATAAAGCTAATTTAACAAAAATAAGTTTAATGGCAAAAGCTCTAGATTGCAGATTTTTAAGCGACGTTTTAAATAGTTTAAATATTTACGTATAGAATTATCTTGTAGATTTATTGTCGAGTCTATTTATTTTGGCTAGAATAGTAAGAACAGCTACGAAGAACTCTTCTTGATTTTCAACAATTTATTATTAGAATTTAGGACTTTGACGTTTATTTCATTAGGAATTAAAATTTCAGATCACATAACATTTGAGGAATATACATTATTCTCGCTCGGATCAATTTATTTGATTTATGAAAACACACTATGGGAGTAGTGCCACGCTGCGGCTCATGCCCCATCAAATTTTACAAATTACATCCTGAAGTTATCTATACAAATTTAACTATTCAGTATCATTTACCCGTCGCATCATTCAAGCTTCCTTTATTTCCTTACTAAACAGATCATGTGCACAGATCACGTGCGAAACCTAAAGAGTATCGACATACTTTCGCTTTTTTTTTTCGATTTCTTATCTTTCAATTCCCTCCTTTTCATTCCTTTTTCCTCCGTTCTTTCCTTTCCCTTAACCCATGTTTTAACCCATGTTTTTGTTTGTTTGTTTTTTCAGATCTCTTATCTTTCAATTTCTTCTCTTCCCATTTCTTCCCTTTCCCTTCCTTCTTTCTCCGATTCTTTCCTTTTTCAATCAATTTTTATTTTTTATTTTTTTTTTTTATTTTTTTTTTTTTAGGGAGGGACCGGATGGGACCCCTCACGAAAGAGCCAGACTAAAGTCAGGCAGTGAAAGAAAAAAGCACTACCGTTTACAAATTTCCTACTTACCCTTAAATATCGTATCCTTTTTTTCCCTACATTTCCCATCTTACCATAATAATACCAACTATGATTTCCCTTTAACCTTAATAGTAATAACTATGATTTTCCTTCTAACCTAAAATAGCACAATACTCTCACATTATTCCCTTAGCCACTAACATGTGATGATCCTCGCGATAATAACCTTAGCATGACTATCGTCATGCATTAGGTTAGTACCAATTAACAATCTCAATGATTTTGATTTCTTGGTTTATCATCAGAACAGTAATCTGAACCAGGATACGTATGAGCCAATTAGTTCATTACAGTCTGGCCCTGATTTTTTTTGAAGACCAATCTACAGTCATACCTGAGTTATATCCCCACTGGGATATCCCAACCCGGGTTATATTCCCACTTTTTAGCAGAATAAATTTACTATATTGATTTTACCTAATTTATATCACATCTTATATTATACTCGAGTAATATCCCTATCCCCAGTAGCTTTACAATTTAAATAGTAATCAATCTACCTAACTTATATCCCAGATAAGATATATGAATAATAACGCTATATAAATAAGAATTAACAATAATTATTCCGCAATATGTAATTAAGGTCATGTAAGTTTGAATTAGAATTTTCATGGGTTCTACTGAGTTACATAAAAAATTCTGTAACACTTACGATGTGGTTGAGGTCGAGTTAGCTAGCATTAGAATTGTCTTAACTTTTATGTGGTTAAACTTGAGTTAGATTGCATTTAAGTTATTATTTCTTTCGTAAAGAATTCTGTTGCAAAGCCTCACTATTTCAGTATGAGTTAGTTTGCATTGACAGTATTGGTTAAGGTTGAGATAGATTGCATTGGAATGTCTTGTATTTTCTATGTGGTTTGGTTGAGTTGGCTTCATTAGAATTATCATAACTTCTACCGCGAGTTATTGTAAACATTTTGTCGTTACAGAACCTGTTATTCCGGTAATGATGAAAAGGTGAGTTAGCTTGTATTGGAATTATCATAATTTCTTTTATGAACTACTGTAAAAAACATTGTCATGAACCTATTCAACACATATGCAGTTAAGGTTGAGTTTGTATTGACTGTAAAAAAAAATTTAATACAAAACTTGCTCGCTATTCTAATAATCACAATATGTGGTTGAATTAGTTTGTGTTAAAAAAACTTACTATAGTTTATATTGTGAGTTACTTTAAAAAATTCTGTAGCAAACCTTTTTATTCTGTGATAAAATTTTTGTGACTCACTAACGCATGTTACAGTATTAACATTATTCATATCAAAGTCTACAAAGTGCGTATAACGAACGAAAGTTAGTTTCTGAGAATGTGAATAATTTTTACGCTCAATTTTCACACATTGATTATTAATTCTGATCGATTACGAATTACTGAATTATAATATATGTATATTGCCTAGTTATTTAATTTATTATTATTTGTATTATTTAAAAGCTTATATTTTGATTGGTTCAACATTACATGACTATATATGCTTAATTCGGATTATACCCGAGTTATATCCCCACCTTAGTTATATCCCCAAAAATGCTCTGGAAAAAAGGGGGATATAACTCAGGTATGACTGTATCACTACTTAGAATTGATTAAGGACATTCTCAAGCACATAACTCAGTGAATTCAATAAAAAATCTGATTGGCTAGTTTGATCAAACAGACCAATCAGATTTGTTATTGAGTCAGGTACTTGAGAACGCCCAAAATCCGATTAAGCTCTTTATTTGTTTCATCACAGTAAATTTGAACATCACTACAATTATTAGCAAGCTACAATGTGATACTTGAGCGAAACTCAATAATAACAATATTCATACGGTAATATGATTTTTATTTATAATATTATAAGAATGGCTAAAATTATTCATAACAGTTGTGCACTATTAAGATCGTTGAGAATTGTATTCAATGAGATGCTTAATAATGCCCTAAATCAACGTGAAAAATTATTAAGCCGAATAGATTACAGTTAAATAATAAATTTGACTTTAATAAATGATAATGGCTAATTTAAAATAATATGCTATAAAAAATGAATAAAAAAATACAAAATGCTATAATCACAAAATTAATATTATACTACATTATCGTATTAAAATAACATTATAATATAAAATTTCAAATGCTATGTATAAAAAATTTAATATTATATATAAATTAAGATAAAAAAAAACTTAATTAAGAAAAAAATCTCAATCATATATAATATTAAATTATATATTATTAGAAATTACAAATTCAAAAATTTATTACGCCTTTGATTGATAAAATATTCACATTTTCAAAATATCTCTTCTATTAAAAATAAATATAAAAATTAATGTCTAATTAGAAATTTAATAAATTTCATATAATAATAAACAATACCAAATTTTGGATCTATTTATGTAATTTTTTGTAAAAATTTGGATCAAAAATGTTATTTTCAAATTGAATTTACATTTCAAATCGGCACTTCCAACCTAACAACTAAATAATATTTTATACTCACCTAAAGAGAGGCAATTCTTGGGCTTGGAATTATTCTGATTTTAAATTGTTTGTTAAATTTTAATTTAGTGAAGATGGTTATGAATCAAATAATACTCACTCACTGGAAATTAATTTATTGAATAATTTAAAGTATTAATAATTCTTCAAAAAGTTTAATTTTTAGCATATAAACAGAATGTTTTAACTTACTTTCTGATTTAAATGTTAATAACGTTTTAGTAACATCTTTAGTACAATTTATTAAATGCAGTCTTACTTGCTAGATGTTGATTTTAATTAATAGAAATAATTTGTCATTAGATTTTGATGGATCAATTATTTCAGTTTTGTAAAATTTTGTGAAATAATAATTTCTGATTTCTTAAAATTATACAGATGTGAAATAATCGTATCGGCGTAATTTTAAGAAAGCAAAAATTACTAAAGTTCAAAAAATTCATAGTGATTTCTTTTTTATATTTATACTCACAATCTGATAATATATAAAATTTATATAATTAACAAATGCATAATATACGAATCAGAATTTTTTCAAATTCAAATTATTAAATAAACTTATGGTAATATTAATTACTCACTCGCTAACATTCATAATTATTTTAAATAAAATAGCATTAATCTATTATACAGTTTTGACTAGTAAATGATTGTAAGGCCAAATTTCAAACTTACTCCCTGGAAGTTAGATGATTCATTAAATTATTATTTAGTAAAAATCAATACCAATGTAATTTGATAAATGAATACGCATACTCACAGGCTGAAAGTAATGTTATTATTCAAAACTGAGTCATTAAGAGATTTTATTAGCAGGCAAATGTTTGTAGTTTATTATATACTTACACGCTAATATTAATGCAATTAAAAAATATTTTAGCGAAATCTCAACATGAAAATTCGGTTTTACTAAATCACACCACTGGTGTTCAGTGTTTTGTACAACATAAAAAGATAGCAATAAATAAAATAAAATTAACTATATATGAAACTAAGTTAGTAGTTAAAGATTAGGTAATATATAAAATATAGAAAATTTAGCAAGGAATTTTTTTATTAGAAGCCAAAAGATGCTTTTCTAAGTAATTTTTGAGCTATAAGCATTTTTTTTAAAAAAGTAACAAAATTTTATGTAACACTGATCTTTACGATACACTATATAATTTAATTGTTGAAAATAATTGTGGTGTTGAGCAGTGGTGTGATTTTAGTAAAAATTAACAATAATTTATGTTTACCTCCTAACAGATGTAAATTAAGCAAACCTTTAAACAATTCATTAAAACATTTGATCCGATATATATATATAATTAAAATTTATACTAACCACCTAGTAATTGAAAAATATTCAATGATAATGCATCATAACAAATCGGGTTACGACATGTTTTCAGTTTTACTTACATGCTTTAAAAATAATTTATAGAAATATATTTAAAATAATATTTAATTCTGATTTAAAACGAACATAAGAATTTAAATTTATACTTACATACTAATTATTTGATACAATTATGAATTTTTGAGTCAAATAGTATTAAGAATAAATTATAGATAGTAAACTTAACTCACCTCCTAATAGTTAATTAATATAATTGTTGAAATATTGTTTAACCTGGCGCATCGATTTATTAGATTTTATACTTACTTACTAATCATTTAAATTTTATTAGTAAGGTTTGTTGTAATACTGATGGGACCAAACGTTTATACCATTCATCACAAAGTTGTTACTAAATAAAATTATCTAAAATTTTTACGCAGCTTTATAAAAATTTTATAAGTCCAATGTACATCTACATAGCTATTTACATAAATAAATATAAATTCTACGTAAAATTATTTAAAATGATAAAAAAATTTTAACTTAAATATCAAAGCTAGAATTAGATTTTAAAGCTTAAATTGGGTTTGGGGAAGGTTTTCTAACGTGCTAATCATTTTTACTTAATATATTAAATATAAATTTCTTTAGTCATTCTTGAGAAATAGCCAAGAATATTGAATTATTTTATAAATATATAAATAAAATTTAATAAATTTTATATATTTATAAAATAATAAATAAAATTATACATAAAAATTAAGTTTATATAAAAAAATTCTTTTATATAAGTCTACATTGGTTTGTAAACCTATATAATATTTCACATAATATTTATATAACTTTATAGAGCTACATAAATTTTATAAAAAACAACTTGGTGATGTCGTCTGAAATTCACATGATATAGCTTGAGACATCCTGACTAGTTTGGATCCCATCATTAGTTGTGTATTTTAATTTAATTAATACATATTCAAACTTTATACTTACATACTAGTGGTTTAACATGATTTAAGAAATAATTCATTAATAAGTTACAATCTAATGAATAATTATATGCAATTGGACTTACATTCTGGAATTTTTAATTATTTAAAAACATTATTTAGTTTATAATAGAAAAATTATGATGACTTAACTAAATAAATGAATAAATATTTAACTTACATACTGGAAGACGAATGAATTTATTCGTTAAAATTA